GATGATATTTGACAAAAAATAGGTTTCATACAAGCTAAAATGTCTCTATCATTTTTTTTTTTTTGAGAATTGCTCCATAGTTGAACCTACCCCCCACTTAAGGTCCCCTTCAAGAAATGATTATAATGCTTATTACTGGAAACTTCTATAGGAACGTAATCTTCCTACCTATTTTCATGCAGAATAGGTCGGTTACTCATCCTACCCCCATATAAGGTCCCCTTCAGAAAACTACTCTAATTACTGGCTTAAAAATACGAATATAATAATGAAACTCGACACAAATATGTTTTATATAAGCCAATATCTCTCTACCAAGTTTGTAAGGATCGGTCCATAATTGATAATATCGCCATATAAGGTTTCCTTGAGAAATTTACTTTAGCGCTAATTACTGGCTTAAAAACGACAAATTTTTACATAAACAAGTTTTGTATTAATGAAAATCGCATTACAAGATTTTAAGAGGATCGGTCCACAATTGAACCTAATTCTCATATATAAAGCCACCATGAGAAAATCGCGAGTATTTCATCGTTGTACTCGCCATAAAAAGTTTTTTATTATAATTCTTCATTTCGAATTTTATGACAATTGGTTTATAGGTGACAATAGCCAACAAAATCTATATACAAAATTTTATGGCTTCGATTCATAATTATCCCTACCCTCATATAAGGACCCCTTCAGATAATTACTTTTATGCTTATGACTGAATTAAAAATACGAGAACAGCAATGAAATTCGAAACGAATAAGTGTTATACTTGACCCTATCCCCCATACAAAATCCCCTTCAGGAAATGACTTGAATGTCCACAATTCACTTATAAACACTAGTATTAATATGAAATTTACCACAAATAGATTTTATATAAACATTTTATATAAAATGTCGACATTAAATTTTATAAGGATCGGACCAATTTTTGCCCTAGCCCCCCTTCAACCGGACCTACCGATTAGGGCCTCTTAGCTCATGACTACGATAAATATACTACTATCTTCCCAAAAATTGGCACAACTATGTTTGATATGTAATTATAAATAACACTGTCATTTTTCGCCATGATCGGAAATAAAAAGTAGCCTATTGCCAGACATACGAATGTGCTGTGAAAATTTTAAGAAAATCGGTTTAGCCGTTTAGTAGTATATAACGTTCAAACATACAAACATACAAACAAACACACATTCATTTTTATATATGTATATAGATAATTCCCAATAATACATTTTATAAGGATCGGCTCAATTTCTTCCTTAGCCTCCATACATCCGGACCTTCCGATTTCGGTCGTTTATCTTTTAACTACGTCTAATATACTACTATCTATCCAAAAGTCGGCACAATGTGGTGATGTTTGTAGCACTCAAAAATATTTGTCCTTATTAAGCTATGTCCGTCTTTGTGACCGTGTAAAACTTGTGTGCACGCAACAGATCGCAATTTTGAATATAATTTGTTAAAATGTGTCACATACTATTCTCTGGATCCACTGACGATGGCTGTTGAAAATGATTAAAATCGGTCTTCTATTTTTCCTAGTCAGCATACAACCGAACATGAACAGACATTATTTGGAACCTATATAAGATTAACAGAAATGCTTCATTATTGAAATTAATCACATTCTATTATACAAATCAATTATATAATTTTGAATAAATCAATTACAATAGAATGTCAAAATGAGTTGCTTAGGTTTCGAACAATACTCTATATAGTAAAAGCAGTCATAACTGTTTTAAAGATATCGGTTCATAATTGACGATTCCCCTCCGTATGGAAGAAAAATTCTCTTTAACGCACATTACAGGCTTAAATACTCATAGAGCGCTGAAATTCGACATAAATAAATCTTATAAAATCGAACAGAAGACTACGCTAAATCCGATTAGGCATAAGACTACAGAAGCCACAAAAATAGCTGCCGAATATATCTATACTAGAAAATCCACTTTATTACAAATAACAAGACATCCATCAAATCCCTAGAAGAAAAGTTGACGAAGAATAACGGGTTTCTCATTTACTAAAATGATAGGAGTATATGATCCACAATATGGTGGTATTAGATAGAACTACTAAACGAATTATGTACTCCAATAATGTTTAAAGGGTCATAGTTTTGAAATTAAATAAATCGAGCATGTTTTTTAAGTAACCCAAATGCCGTTAACTCTAAAGTACCTTTGTGTATTAGATCCATATTACCCCAGCAAAAATAAAACGAAGTACTTCCAAAAGAATAACATTTATCACCACTTCAAAAGTAGCACTAATTGAACTTTTTTACCTTCTGAGGAAGTGATGTTTAAAGACTTCCAAAGAAGCGAAAATAATTCTATTTTTTTTCAATGTTGAAGATATATTTTTTTGTTTTTACATTTTTATGAGATAAAAAATGTTATATTTGAGCTTTTGTATTAAATTAAATCTATTATCCTAATTAAGTTAATATCAAATTAGTTATATTCTTTGATACTACAATTTCACTTCCGAATAACTTACGAAAAAAGAGCATTAAAATTACTTCTTGAGAATGACTTCAGAAGTAGTGGTCTTTTTCAGTACTTCCATGAAGTAAATTCTACTTCTTTTTTGCTTCTTTGGAAGTTCTTTTTTTTTTTGATGGGACCATCTACACAAATTCAGGTTCTAACTAAACCTGAACATTCGAAACAACAGTTTTTCGTTTTGTTTATTATATACGGTCCATATCGAGCCCTTTTTGAAAAATGGACGTATGCGAGTTGATTTTCGATTTTCGTTTTTTTATAGAAATCGATAATTTAGGTCAATTAGCATCGTCTCTGAAAATTTCGTAGCTATAGATCCAATGGTTTCAACTTTACAAGAAAAAGAAAAAAGACGTAAGTACACATTTATTTTCTGTTTATAAATTTTGTAACAGCAAGGTGTCGGTTACGTCAAATTTTCTTTTAAAATTAAATTTATAGAAAATTTGAAATTTTGAATGAAATGCCACATACCTGAGTATAATTGTAATAAATGCATGTAATTATCACTATGCTATTGTAATTTATGTGCTAAAATTTATAATTTTCTATAACTTTTTATGAATTTAGTTCATTCTAATTACTAATTACATTGCATTTATATTATTACCATTTAACCAACTCTTATATTTGGTTGTAAATTTGTGGATTTCGGAAGGCAAACCGGTATATGGACTCTTAATGAATCAATAGTACCAGAATTTACTTATTTATTCGATACAAGGCGAATTGTACTACCATCTATGTATATCATCAGGGTGATTTTCAGAATACGGCTTTTAATAATGGATTTGGTCAATTGTGGAGCGAGGTCTATAGAATTTAAACGCGTGATTAGTTTTGAAAATAAATGTTTTTTGTAGAATTCCATCATACTTTCTTAATTTTTGAAAGATTTATTAACTGTAAACTTATTTTCTGTATGAGGGGCATAGGAACCCATCCTAAAACATCATCTTACGTCAAATTTCGTTCCTATACTGATATTTTTAAGACAGCTATGGTCATAAAATCATTGTCTTAAAGGGTCCATACATGGAGGCTAGGGTCAAATATTGCCTGACATCTGTCATACTTCCCAACATAATTTACAGGTATATATAACTGACTTCTTCAAAATTTTATAGCGATTGCTACATAAACAACATATTTATTAATGTTTTAACTATAATCCGGGAGGTACTTGTATCATGAACCGATTTTGCCCATTATTAACACAAAACAATATTTGTCATCAATAAGCATTTTTGGAGAATTTCATCACTCTAGCTCATAACGTTCGGAACATATACGGTTTTCAACAAAAATACTGACATACAGACATCGCTAGATGATCTTAAAATCTTATAAAAAATATTAATTCACTCTTAAATTTCAGATTTATACAAATTATATAAAGATATACACAAAAAATATTTTTTTAGACAGAGAATTTAGACGTAACCGCCTCAACATTGTTTATATCATAAAAATTTGTCTCGGCAAAAAAGACGTAAGCGACAAAATAATCGGATATAGCGTCAATATAAAATCGAAACAAACTGCGTCCCATATTTTAGATGTAATAATATTTATTAACGAAGTTTTGGAGTAATTCTATGTCCTACTACGAAGATAATTAAAAAAATGCTCTCCTGTAAAATTTAGTTTTTGTCGATTACGTCTTTTGTGCGAAAAGGGCTCGATATGTACATACATATATATATTAAAATAAAAATATTTACTTACAAAATCAAACTTTCTTACAGAACAAAAAAAAAATAAACTTAATTTGTTTGTAAGAATGATAGTCAAAAGCAAAACTGATCAACAAACATTTAAATGATTTGATTTAACTGAAACTCAATTGACATTCAACAGACGTTTTCAAATTTATTGGCAAACAAACCATCATCACACCCCGTTTTTTATGTTTTATCATTAAACATTTCCTTCCATTTCATTTCTTTTTTTATTAGCTTTTTTTCCTTTTTAACAACTATTTATTGTGAGTATTTCATAACATTTCTTATTAATACATTATTACTGTTGTTGCTGATGAAGATGTTGTTGTTGTTGTTATGTATCTTTGTTGTTAACCCTGACATTTTAACATAAATATTATTCTGGCAATTTGTTGTACTTAATATTAAAAAAAAAGAATCGGATACTTCTTCTATGAATTCACATGTCGTACAAAATTTAAAACAAAAACAAAAAATGCATAAAAAGTAGTTTATTTTATTTAATTTTATTATTATTTTTGTTGTTTTTGTGACTGACTACTTATAGCAACAAAAATTATTTAGATTAAAATTGTATCTGAGTAAAAAATTAAAATCAAAAGAAGTAGAAGAAATAGATAAAGATTCACTGAAATAACAGCAACAACAAAAAACAGGATGCGGAACATGTTTGGCATGTTAAAACGTACATAATTTTTAAAATTTAGTTTAACAAAAATTTGTTTCTTGTTCTGGTATAAAAGCTTCACATTGTTGCAGAGACAGTAGTACAATTCTTCTCGTGTTCATCACAGCACTTTAATCTATTTACGCGTTTTTTAAAATCAACTAAATCTTAAATCAAAATGTTCAAATTTGTAAGTGTTGAAAAAAGGAATAAGAAACTAAATTTATACATTATTTGATTATATTAATAAATATTTTTAATTGAGTTATTAAATAACAAGTGATCAACCATAAGAGTGATAGTGTAAATTTCACCAAAAAACAAATCCTCCAAATATTACATATACAACTTGCAGAGTTTGGTTAATATAATATGAACACATTAAAGTTTTTGTTATTTACTTAATAATAAAATCTTATTTGAGAACCACTGTAATTACAAATTTGATAAATTATTTAAACAAATTCAAAAAAGACCAAATTAAAACTAATTTTAGTGCATTCTACATAAATTATAACCTACAAATCTATTGTTCTTTGCATATTTATATTAAATTCTAGCATACCCGGAGTACTTTGCTACCCTAATCGAAAATTCATAAAAAATATAAAAATATAATAGGATAAAATGTGAATACTTTCATATAAAATTTAAAAAATACCAGGTTTCGTTGGTCCCAGAAATGATACTTTGAAAAGGGGGAAATTAGTTTAAAATGCACTGGCGCGGAAGTTAAAAGTTCTGAAGTAAAAAAGTGATGGAAATGAGATCAGTAATATAGAAGTATGAGTGAAAACAAAAGACAATAAAAGAAAGATGAAGAGATTCCAAAAGACTCACATAGACACCATTATGTTGCCATTTCCAATGCAATTACAATGATATTTTTATACCCACTGTCAAAAAGGATGGGGGTATATTGATTTTGTCATTTCGTTTGTAACACATCGAAATATTGATCATAGTATATTCGGGTACTTATTAAATAAGACGATCTAGCCATATCTGTCAGTCTGTCCGTTGAAAGCACGATAGAAGTTTCTTACAAGCACAAATCTCTCTACCGAATTTTATGAGAATCGGTCCATAATTGCCCCTATCTCCCATGTAAGGCCCCTTTCAGAAAACGACTTTAACGCACATTAATGGTTTAAAAATCCGAGTATAGCTATGAAATTCGATAGACAGTAAGTAAGTTTCTTACAAGCCAATATCTCTTTACCGAATTTTATAATTGACTCTACCACCTATATATTGTCTTAAGCCCTATTTCAAATATCAATCTAATGTTTATATGGGAGCATTCCATTTATGTCATACGGTTTGATGGTGGGTATATAAAATTCGGCGTAGTCGGATGCCGGATGTTAAGAATGCCAGTCATTCCTAGTACCGATGTGGTATACACACCATTCGGGGATTTAATTGCAGCTTGAATGTCTATAAATATTCGTATATACCTGTCTGACTCTATGATACCATAGTCTGAATTACTTTATAAACCCAAATTTCGGAATTAAGACACCGGAACTTCCCGTTCCCCCTTATCGATCGATTCGTAAACATGGAAATATTTGGTTGAGAGGGACTTCTTTCCAAATTCGTTTCATTCAATATTTCGAGATGGTAGTTATTATGGAACGATTTTTGAGGATTCTAGTTCTAACAGTTTCACAAATTAACGAATTTTTTTATTTAATTCCAAGCCACTGCTGAGTTCAGAGTTCTTCATGCTAAATTTGAGGACTTTAGTTTCCCAGATATACGAATTTTTGAACTTTAATCATATGGTGCCCAGAGTCCCTCATCCGCCGATTTGTCTCCTTAAAGTTCACATGGATGTTAAAGTTCTTCGTACAAAATTTTAAGATTCTAGCTCCTAAAGTTTCCTAGATAAATGATTTTTTGTATTTAATTTATATGATACCAGGCGTTTAAAATCTAGTCCGCCAATTTATTATCCAAATGTTCACATGGATGTCAAAGTAGTTGGTGCAAAGTTTTAGAATTTGAGCTTTAATAGTTTCTGAGATATACGAATTTAATTCATATGGAAGCAGCCACGCCCCCTATTGCTAGTCCGCCCATTCTTTGTCCTAAACATTAATGTTTATACTTATGAAAGTGCGCTCGATTTTTTTCTAAATTTTCCAATGGTTTCCCAGAGTAACGAATTTTAGAATTTAATTCATATGAGAAGTGCCACGCCCCCTCAGGACTCTAGCTCTTACAGTTTCTGGGATATGCCCATTTGAAATTTTGATGCAAAAAGTAGTCTATAGTTCCTGTCAGACACTGTTCAAATATCAGAAAAACCGGTCCAACCGTTTAGCTATCAATAGAGTCCAAACAAACATACATACACACATACGTCCAATAACGCAATCTAATAAAAAAAAAATACACTTAATTTTTCTCTAAAGAACAAGTTCTTTAAAAATATTAATTTTGTGTTCTTTAAAAAATACCACAAATAAATATATTATCATTTTATTAGTTAAATAAATAAACATGTTTCACTTAATGAATATTGACCTTTACTTAAAAAAAAATTTCAGGTAATTTTATTCGCCTGCATTGCCGCCATTGCCGTTGCTGCACCTGCCACTGAACGTGAAGAACGTGAAGTCGTGGAAATTTTGAAATCGGAAATCAACAAAAATGATGATGGTTCCTATCAATTGTCCTACGAAGGTGGTGATGGTACTACACGTGATGAAACAGCTGTTGTCATGAATGCCGGTACTGAAGATGAAGCTTTAGAAGTCAAGGGTTCCTACAAATACATCAACGAAGATGGTGAAGAAGTTGAAGTTTTCTATACTGCTGGTGTAAATGGTTTTGTGCCCTACGGTAAGACCATCAATAAAGAAATCTCTGCTGTCGCTGAGGCCGCCAAGGATTTGCCCAAAGAAGAACCTTATGTCAAAGTAGACAAGAAACATGAATAATTCCCTTGAGAAATCCGTCATTGCCTCAAACGGTAATCGTTTCTTAATTTGAATTTTTAATGAGAATGAAGTTTTAATTAAGGGGCTGGTTACTAGTTACGATCTTGGTATGGTTTAATATACAATTAATTATTTGTTTTAGTTTTTTGTATTTCTTTGTTAAGTCCCGTGTTTTTTAAGTTTAAGTTATAAAGATAGCAGTTAAGATGAGATAGAGAGATAAACTTTACTTTAACATAGAAATAACAATTAAAGCCTAGTCTGTGTTTAAATGTTTAAGAATTGTTAAAAAAAATATGTTTGTATAAGCCAGCGTGTAGATTAAAAAAAATGTATATACAATAAATTAAAAAAAAAACGAAACATAATTTATTTTCACTTCTTTTTGCTTGATTTGGTGCTAAAATGTTTTATGTAAATAAGTAATACGAGTAATATTACGTAATTACCTTAACCCTACAACGCACAAAATAATATTGAAAACTACAAAGTTTTGGTTATTAAAACTTCAATCCGTCTTATTGCAATTATAAGTAATATTTATTGGCAAAAATTCAATTACAATTATTATATCCTACACCACTATACCCAAAAATCTTTTGATAGATAATTAGATGAAATTTTCACTTAGTCCAAGAACGAAGCCTATTACAATTGGTTGAACTCGGTTCATTATTCCACCTAGCCCCCGTACGGTACGGTTATTCCCCACGAATAGGGCTTATGAGCTCATAATTATGTTAAATTTCTAATATCTCTACAAGGCGGCGCTTACCGCCGAATGGATCTTTACTTTAGGCGATCTGGCCAAAAGCGGTTATAGGACATGTCATCTATGTATACTGCACACATTGGAAGATTATACACAATCATTGGACGTGCCTGATCGCATATAAGATACAGAATATGTCGGAAACTTTGAAACGCTGACCCCAGATTGAATGTCTTGGTCAAGCGGAACATTAGAGCAAATACCAGTAGGAATCCGTTGTTACACGGGTGACTCTAAATTGTGGGACAGAAACGGAAATATACCACCGTTTACCAAATCATAATACAAGCTTCCGGGCAGAAGTCCGAGCAATAACGGAATGCGTAAATTGGATTATAACAAATATGGCGCCGACAGCCAGAAGGCAATTAGAAGGCAAACTGAATACTCTCCCAGAGATAAGGTTATCATATGGGTACCAGCCCACTCGGGAGTAGTCGGCAACGAAAAGTCGAATGCAATAGCTTTAAAGGGAAGGGAGCTTGAGGCAGTTAACCTGACAGACGCAAAACCATTCGACGCAACAAAACTGAACTAAAAATATGGGTGAGAGAATCCCATAGGACCCTTTTGGAATAATGAAACGGTGCGTAGAACCACAAAGATCCTATGGGATGACCCTGATGAGAGCAAGACGAGAAATCTCCTCAAAATGTGCAAGTCTGAAGTTAGTATGAAGGTACGTATTCTGAGTTGACACACAGGATTACGAGCACATCTATGCAAAATTGGACGTGCGGATTCAGACGAATGTTGAGAGGACAGTGAAATTCTGGATCTCTTTATTTGCCACTGGAAGTGATGTTATTCCGAAAATAACATTCCTGACTAACACTGATTGGAAGATTCTTAGGAATTACGTCCAGAAAACCGAGTTTCAGAAAATCACTTTTTTACCAAATTGTTCAAATATTTCAGAATTAAGGTAAAACATAAATTATATCCACATAATCACTAGTGTAGGGTATTATATGGCCCGCCATGCATGAATATACCTACATTCAAGGATTAAAAACTCAGATTTTGCCCATATTTGGAACTTCATAACATGCGAAGAAACCTTAATTTATAATGTTTGTTATATCATCCGTAAGTCTAATCTATCGCCTTTCAAATCAAAGTTTAAGTTCTGTTATATTTTATTACTTCTTCGAGATATACAATCCAAATCTTAAAACTGCTATTAATTAAAAATTCAGAACCATTTTAAAAATACGAGTATAGCTATGTAATTCGACGTAAATAAGTTTTATATGCGTCAAAATCTACAAACAATATATAAGGTCCCCTTCAGAAAATGTCATTAATACTGATTACCGACTTACAAATACTAATATAGCGATGGAATTCCACATAAATAAGTTTTATAGAAGCCAAAATCTCTCTACCAAATTTTATGAGGATCGGTCCATAATTGACCCTACCACCCATATAAGGTCCCCTTCAGAAAATAAGCGAATATAATAATGAAACTCGACACAAATATATATAAGCCAATATATTTGCAAGGATCATAATATAATTGATCCTACCCCCGTATAAGGTTCCCTTGAGAAATTTACTTTAACGCTAATTATTGGCTTAAAAAACGATGAATTTTGACATCAACAAGTTTTGTATTAATGAAAATCGCACTACAAAATATTATCCACAATTGAACCTATTGTCGACAGATTGGAAATTTTTGATAACGTAATCGAAATACTTGGAGTATTAATGTCCCCTATACTTTTAAAGGTTAAAGTAGAAATTCAAAATACGAAATAAAATATTACTCGTATTATCTCACACGTTTTATAACATTCAAAGAACGGACAGACAATACATAAATCGTGTATCTCTTTATGTACCAAATGAATACCAATTAGAAGATTTGACAAAAATGAGCTTAAAACAAATTTGTTATATCAAACAAAATAACATAAAAATGCAAAAATTCTTTAACAAAAAAAATCTTCTACGTGCTACAGAATTTGAGCTTTTTCTTCTTCTTTTAACATTTTAATTATATTTAAGCTAACAAATAACAAATATTTGATGATTTATTGATAAATATAATTAAAACATGCCTGGAAGCAGCAAACGAAACGTAAATGATTTGTTCGAATCAACAATGATAAATAACAAGTAAGAGTGTTATTTTCAGCTATGCGGAATCTTATATTCACCATTAAAGCATTTGTCATAAAATGTACTTAAATTTTGGAAGATTGCCCTACGGATGTACTTAAGTCATTATGTATATATAATTATGCCATTTATTACAAAAATTTATTTATGTTATTGAATTTATGCTGAATATTATTATATTGATTTTGGTTGATTTTTTCGGAATTGCGGCTTTAAGAACTTGGAACGATTTTTGACTAAACTCTACAGAATTCGATAGAGATTATTTTCTAAAAACAATAAATTGTCTTTGACAATTTGTCTTTTTTAACAATTTATTAACAAGAAATGTATATTACACATAGGGTATTATATGCGGCTTGGGGTCAGTTATGAACCATACATTAAAAAATTATAATTTTTTGTGAATCATTTCCCGGTATAATTTTAACTATAATTTCTGGGTACTTATACATAGTTATGAACCGATCATTGAAAAAAATATTATTTTCTGAATGGGACTTTAGACTGACTGACATATCTATATTGTCTTTAGTAGGTCTAAGGCCAACATATCGTTGATTTACAAACCGATTGACAACAATATAATTACCTCATAAATCAGTATTTTGAATACATATCAGCTTCTACTGATCACTATGAATTACATTGGTTAACATAAATTTTATTCCGTTATAACAATTCTAGACTTACATATACTATGTTAACAGTCCCCACAATTAAGTGAATATGAATTTTAAACTTTTAGAATATCTCAGAACAAAGATTCGGAACAAATTTCTTATCATAGTTGCTAAAATCTTCTTCTATATATATAGAAATGAATGTGTGTTTGTCTGTATGTTTGTATGTTTGAACGTTATAGACTACTAAATGGCTGAACCGATTTTTTCAAATTTTCACAGCGTATTCCTGCATATCTAGAATAGGTTATGGGCTATTTTTTATTTTGAAATTCCAAGCCACGCCCATATTAAGAAAATATTAAATCCGTATATTTGAGATAATATAACAGAGTCCTCAAATTTTGTTGGAGCAACTTTAGTGTCAATATAATTATTTAGGACAAAAAGTAGGCGGACTAGCATTAGGGGGCGTGGCACCTCCCATATAAATCAAATACAAAAATTCGTTAATATTGGAAACTATTACAGTTAGAATCTTAAAATTTTGCACGAATAACTTTAACATCAATTTAAACATTTTGGGTCATAAATTGGCGGACTACCCATGAGGGAAGCGGCACCTCCCATATTAATTAAATACAAAAATTCGTTTTTCATGGGAAACTAATGGAACTAAATTCTTCAAATTTTGCACGAAGAACTTAAATATTCATCTGAACATTTTGGAAGAAAAATAGCGGACTTTCATCTGGGGGGGGCTTGAAGCCCCCATATGAATTAAATAGAAAAATTTGTATATCTGAGAAACTATTACAACTAGAATCTTCAAATTTTACTTGAAGAATTTTGACATTCATCTGAACATTTAGAGTATAACGGACGGTCTTTCAATGGGGAACTTTGCACCTCCCATATGAATTAAATATAAAATTTCGTTTATCTGGAAAACTTATAGAACTTGATTCCTCAAATATTACACAAATTATTTTAATATTTATCTAAACATTTTGGGGAAAAGTGCGGGCTTTCATCTGGGGAGCTTGAAGCCCCAATTAGAAACTATTAGAGCTAGAATCTTCAAATTTTACATGAAGAACTTTGACATTCATGGGAACATTTAGAGAATAACGGGCGGACTTTCAATGGGTGGCTTAGCACCACATACATGAATTAATTGCAAAATTTCGTGTATCTTAGAAACTCTTATATTCTTCAAATTTATCATCGATAGATAGAAATTAGCGATAGATAGAAACAACGAACTTGCAATAATTTGCTTGACATCTCACTTATATAACATATTGTAAATCAGGAAAACTATTCTAGTTAGAATCTTCAAAATCGTTAAGTGGGTTTTTTATTTATACATATTGCTTTTAGGGTAGCAAAGCACACTGGGTATAGCTAGTATTTAAATAAATAAAAGGTTTATGTCGACAGTTCGCAATCACAATATATAAATTGTTTATATACCCTATACTACTTTATTGGTTATATTGGTTTTGTTTGATATCGTTCCATTATTTCACCTAGCGGCCATATAATCGGACCCCCTACACTAGGTTTTAGAGCTTATAATTACATTAAATATCTGAACAAAAATATTCAATGCAAACTTCGTAATGATCGGTCCTCATTTGACCTTAGCTTCTATACGAATTTCCTCTTAGAAAAAGGCTCGAACGGCGTTAATTTTCTTATAAATACTTGTATTACGATGCAATTCGGCATAATCAAGATAATTTTCTCAACAA